GGGCGGGCGGGGAGCTGCTCGATGCGGCGGCGGCGGCGGACACGGAGTCAGGGCACACCGCTACGATGGCGCCCCCGTACGACCCGCCCACGCCCCGCAGACGACCGTATACGCCACGGGGACGCCCCGCCTCCGCCCCAGACATGCTCCGCGCCCGCGCCCGTCGCGCAGAGCGGGCGGGAGGCGGCGCGCCCGCCGCCAAGACGGTGCGCCCGCGCGCGTCCGCCGCGCCGCGCCGCCGCGAGAACGCAGCCGCGCGATGTACGCCCCAGGGCCGACATGTACGCTGCGTCCCAGCCCGGTCCGGGAGAAAAATGCGTTTGCTGCGTGTGGTCAAAGGGGGGACCCTTGCGGCGCGGCCGCGCACGGCGGGATCGCGCTCGCGCGCGGACGGCGCGTCGGCGAGCTTCCAAACGGCGATGGCGCACTCCTATGCATCGGGATGCGTCCCCGGGGCGATTCCCAGCGCGATCCGGGCACATAAAATCCGGGCTGTTTGGTGCGATTTCATGGGCGGATGGCGGGCGGACACGCAGATTCGCGCACCGCGGGCCCCCGTCGTGTCGGACCGCGGCGTACGTTTGTGCGCACATGCCTGCAGACGTCCTTGTGCGTTCCGCGCTGCGTATGGGCGCGTTCGACCGGTGTGGACGGCGGCTGTGTCGTGCGGGACGACGGGGGAGGCGGGGCTGCGTCCGTGGACAAGTGGACCGAGCGCGCCGACGACGCGCTGCGCGGGCTCGAGAACGCACGGGCATGATGTATGCACCAGGGTGCAGGTTTCAGGTGAGTTTCAGCGTCGTCTGAGAAGAAAAGGTGCTCACCGAGTGTTTTTCAAAGGGGGGACCCTTTGCATCGTGGCCGCGTACATACGGATCGAGCTCGCGCACGGACGTCGCTCCGGGGAGCTACCAAAACACGATGGCGCGGTTCTATGTAACAGGGCGCATCCGTACAGTGAATCCCAGCGTCATCCGAGCAGGTGAAATTCGCGACGTTCAGTGCGATTTCATGGGTCGGGAGGCCGGCAGACACATAGATTCGTGCGCGGCGGGCCCTCTTCGTGTCCTACCGCCGCGCGATTTCGCGTACGCACCCCTGTGTACGTCTCTGACTGGCTCCCGCTGCGTTTGAGCGTTGAGGATGTCGTGAACGCCGCCCACGTCGTGCTAGATGGTGGGGGAGCCCGTACTGCGTCCCCAGAAAGGTCGACCTCCCGCACGGACGACACGACGTGTCGCTCCGAAAACGCACCACCACGATCTACGCGCCAGCGCCCACACGTCCTGTGAGTTTCAGCCTCTCCGGAGCAAGAACCCATCTGACCGAGTGTTTCGCAAGGAGTCCCGACGCCGTGCGCACAGATTCGACGCTCGCACACGCACGACACCCCGGGCGATGTCCAAACCACTCCTCCGCGCTCCTACGCACCCGGGCGCACGCGCACAGCGAGCTGCGGCGCCGTCCGCGCACATCGAACTCGGGGCGTCGCGCGCGATTTCATGGGCGGGACCCCCGGCGGACACACAGAATCGTGCGTCCCGGGCCCTCCTCGCGTCCTGTCGCCGCGCGTTTTCGCGTACGCACTCTCGTGCACGTCTCCGTATGGCCCCCGCACCGCTTGAGCGCGTATGGACGGCGTAGGAGCTGGGGATGGTGGGATAGGTCGCGGGGAAGCCTGTGCTGCATCTCCGGAGAGAGGTTGAGCTCGCGCGCCGACGACGTACCGTGCTGCTTCGAGAACGCGCGGACGCGATATGTGCGCCATGGCGACTATGTACTGTGAGTTTCAGCCTTGTTCGAGCCGAAACGATGCTGATACGAAGTCCTCTCCAAAAGTCCCCTCTTACTCCCGCCGGACAAAGATCGCGCTCCTGCGTGGGCAGTACTTCAGGTCGCGCAGAAAACACGCGACGCAGCACTTGTACGCACCAAGGAGCGTACCCACAGCGCGTTTCAGCGCCGTGCGCGCACTTCTCAATTGGCGACTTTCGCGCGATTTCATGGGCGGTAACTCCGCGGACACACAAATTCGCGCGTCCCGGCCCTCCACCACGTCCTACCGCCGCGCTGCTTCGCATGCGCACTCCTGGATAGGTCCACGCTCGTGTCCCACCGCGTCGCAGCGCGTCCTACCCGTTCTGGGAATATCGACCATGTCACCGGGAGAAGCTTGGCCTCCGTACCCCCGCGCCCCAAATGTCGAGCTCGGCCGCCACCGTCGCAACGTCCTGCTCCCACATTTGAACGG